GAAGATCAGAATATATTAGTTTAAAGATTAAATCAACTGAGGAAAGTGCAATTTTGAAGTTAAAGCTTTTGGTATAAAGTGGATTTTGGAATTGAATCTTTTGGTATAAAGTAGGTTTTGGAGTTAAAACTTTTGGCATAAAGTAGGATTTTGATCCTAAGCAGATGCTGTATTAAGTTATAAAGTAGGTTTTGGAGTTAAAGCTTTTGGCATAAAGTAGGATTTTGATCCTAAGCAGATGCTGTATTAAGTTATAAAGTAGATTTTGGAGTTAAAACTTTTGGCATAAAGTAGGATTTTGATCCTAAGCAGATGCTGTATTAAGTGAAAAGGTGGTTTGAGTATAAGTCTGCTAGGAATGGTTTCTCCTTTTTCTCTAGGAAGCATCTGAACATTTTTGTTTTGTTTTATTTTCAGATTTTACCTCATTGTTGTGACTTTATTAGTGTTCAATTTATGTTTGGTTGTTAGAGGGTTTCTCGTATCTTTAAACATATTTTCACATCTTTAAATTGTTTGCATCCTTTAAACTTAATGAGTTTCGCTGTATTTAAAGATTTTGTGGATTTGTGACTACGTGGATGCATGCCATAAATCTAGATTGAATGTCACGAATATATGTTACATGGCCAGAGCGCTAACAGTAATAACCTTGAAAGATAGTAATTGTTTATATTTTTTCAGCAAGTGGCATTCTATGTTCTATATTATAACTTATAACCTCGTGCCAAAATCTTTAGTTCAGGCTTTGCAAACAATGATTAGAGAATTAGTTATTTTTTTAAACACTCTTTTTCTACACTATGATTATGTAAATTAAATTATATTTCAAAGATTGGGATGTTGATTTGTGCAATGCCAAATACATTATTACTGAGATTAGTACTGCAAGTGTATATTAAGTTTTTCAGGGAAAAAAGATTTGTAGTGCAAAGACTCAAATGAAATACAAACGATTAGTCACTGAGCTTGTACTGTGACTTTACACAGTCTTCTCTCACAGTACTCCAAGTTGTTCATGAACTATGCTTGTGGAGAACCATCTGACAAATGAAACCTGTCTAATCAAAGCAGGCTGTTAGGAATTGACCAAGGATATCTTAAAAGGTCGTTAAATAGAATGTGGAACCGCTTTCAAACAAATGGCACAATCGTTTCGCCACCTGGTCAATCAAGAACTAAGTCTGTAACACAAGCAAACGAAACTTTGTTTTTAGTTTTGGCTCAGTACAGTCGTAAGACACTTGCTCTGAGACTAAATCCAATTCACAGCTACAGATAGACGTTGTGTCAGCGTACACTTGATATTACTGGTTTAGAGAAATAATGGCACACTTGCACACACACCTTCCCTCGCATAACAAAAGGTACAAGGACTTGGTTGTTTGAAATGTTGGGTGAGGAGTGGACAAGAGACAGACAAGTTTGAAGAACAACCAACTAATCTTTTCTTAACATTCGAATTGAATTAACGTTTCTACTAGGTTAATCTATTAGAACATTTGAAAATGGACCATGTTAGTTAGCTGGATTATTGACGACACAATATAACTTTTGGTGTTGAGGCTCAATACAATACTTTATAGTTTTGAGATCAGTAAGAAGACTTTCCAAAAATATACACATAATCAACCAGGAAAGTTCGACCAATCAGCACAGACAACCTGATGTTTACACTATCTTTCCACTTACTGTGACAAATGTAAAAGGGACAGCATCAAGGGATTAATCGCCATCTCATACACATGACAGAGATGGTTTCTGAGAAAGATCATGGTTAATGACCATCTCACCATCTTCTTCTTCTTTCGATACAACAGGTTATCTAATTCTCATAGAACACAAGAAAGAACTGAAAAAATCTAAAATTTAAGACATCTTTATCTTATCAGTGTTGGGAGTGTGTAGTTATGCTATAAACGCAAGACGTGTATACAATCTATAGAATTATCAAGGTTAACCTATATGTCAGATGGTCAATGAGTTGCATTCTGTTCACAGCAAAACCACAACACGCAATAGTTTTAAAAATGTGGTGAGTGAACCAATCACATATTAAGTAGTATTCTTTTATTTTGAGCTGTAGCACCTGCACCGTTCGTTCCATGTAAAGATGCTCGTACTACATGTAGCACTAAGCACAAAGCTAAACAACATCACGGGTATCAAAACCCAGTTTTTAGCGTTATAAGTATTGAAGTGATTTTTTGTTTCCCTCTAAGTAGTCCTCCGGTGGGACGCGGGAAGTTTATTGACTTACAATGGTAAAATCCTGGATACAAGACACAGCAGATAGCCCAATATTCCTTTTCTCTAAAACAAAAACCCTCTAAACTTTTATCGAAAGGTAATATTAATATATATATATA